TTGTCTTACCTACTTTATGGGTCTGAGAACAAAATGATGGACCTAAGTGTGCTCTGCAGAGTTACAAGTTATAAAGTTGTTAGGATATTCTCCAGTAGGGAAAATATTGATCTGTTTTGAAACAACTGTATTAAAGCAATTAAAAGCTTACAGCTCCTGACATTTCTCAGGAGAAGTGCTGAGGGTTTGGAGGACTGCTTCTCTCCTAGAGAACTAGTGCAGCATAGCTGAAATCAGAAAACCTAGGTACAAGTCTATTTCCTATCTGTGTGACCTTGGGCAAGTAAGTTACGTTATCTCTCTGAGCCTCAATAAAGAAATGAGTGTGAACATGTGATGGAAGCAAAGTATTCAGATGGAAGGCATATTCATCCTTCCCAGTGTGTGCCTTACTGCTGGAAGCAGATATCTTGATTCTGGTAAACTAGTCACCCAAAGAAAGCAGAGTTGAAAGACCCTTGGGGTGGTACACTGAGCACCTGTTTTCTGCCATTGGCTTTGGCATGTGACCTTAGATCAGTTCCTTCTCCTCTCTGTTTCTCCATTTTTAAGAGGTTAGATTATAACTAGTTGTTTTCAGCTAATGAGCATCAGAATCACCTGGAGAGATACAAGCTGGAGGATGAGCAAGAGTCTTCTCTTTTTTACAAGTCTCTCCTACCCCCAATAAACTACCCCCCAAATCCCACATTAGAGGAATTTTATTAAATTTTGTTAAGTATGCCCTATTCAGGATATAAGAGTTGATTTCCAAGTATGTGGTTTGAAGCAGCTGGTTCCCAAAATATGGGTGCCTTGGTTATACATTAATTAAAATACTTGCCAATTTCAAATCAGTTAACTAGAGTCATGCTTCTCCCAGTTTCTTGCAATTTCCATTAATGTAGCTTTGTCATGACTGTGGTATTTCCTCTCAGAATACTCCTTCTCATGTGAACTAAGATACTAATCTCTAGGCAGACAAAACCCAGTAGAATTGTCCATGCTTTCATTACAAGGTTGACTGTAGTTAAAATCCACAGTTGAGAATAACTGAATGTCAAAACTGAAAATACCTTTTGAGACTACCTGGTTTAAAGGGAGACAATTTAGGGGAGACTTGCTCAGCATTACAGACAGGCAGCAAGGAGTGAGTCTGGACCCCCAACACTCCTGAATGAACTCTTTACAATACTCCATGCTGCCTTTCTATTGCTTTTAATGCTCAGAGATTTGAAACTCAGATAACTTTCAGTCTTAAGGTGGTTTCACTATTCTTTGAAGTAGAAAAACTTCATTTATATTTCATCAAAGTATAAGACCATGTACAAAGCAATGTAAGAAGCAGGCAGCTATGGACACAAACTTTGTAAACATTTCCAACATACCAGATTGGTTTTCTCTACCATTTTTGGTCTTTACCTCACCAAGATATCTACTTCCTCAACCTATTTTGGCTTACAGTCTGTGCTTCTCAAATTTTAATGTGCATAGTTATCTCCTGGATATCTTATTAAAATACAAATTTTGATTTCAGATGTCTGGGATGGGGCCCAGGAATCTGTATTTCTCATAAGCTCCCAGGTAATACTGATGCTGAGGCTGATTATGGACCATATTTTGAGTAGCAAGACTTGCAGATGTTGTTAGTCTCATTTCTAAACATCATCTCCATTTACTGTCAGAATTCCTTTACCACTTGGAGTAGTGTGCTATATTAGAAACAGGAATGCTCCTGTGGCTTTTAGTGCTGGGTTTTTAATCAGTCCCTAACTGTATGACATTGGGCAAATTATTTCTCATCTTCCTGAGTCTCAAGTTTTCTTATCTGTAGAACGGGGCTGTCATTTTCACACAGTGATGTTGTGAGGCCTTAAGGAATAACTGGACTTGGTGCAAAATAGACTGTAGATGGAGATCCCTGGGTACAAACAGATTCTGGGCCCTATATTTCCTTAGAAATACAGAAGACAATAGGAACAATGATTGGATCATGCATAATATGCTCAAAGATTGTTTCCATGACAAAACTGCAGATAGAGGCCATTAATACTGGACAGTCTGTATACTTTATTAAAAGTCATGTGAATGTACTCCAGGATTTAATTCTTTTTCTTCTGATGTTACATATGTATTTCATAAAGGCATCTTTCTAGGATCTATTAATGTCCTTGGTATCAAATGATTCTTTTCCTTATGAAAATGGAGGCTTTTCTTCATCAAAAACATCTCTTCAAGGTATCTTGCTTTTCTCTGCATTTTTTAAATGCTTCTGAAGCTTTTTCTGGGATTGTAATGTGTCAAGGCCATTAGAGGCAGGTACATTAAACATAGTATCATTGATCTACATTCTCTCAAAAGCAATTTTTTCTAGTCACAGAAGCACTTTTTTGTTACTTTATTTATTCTAGTTATTACAGAATTAAAGAACTTCTTGAAAAGGAAAGGATTCTTTCGTACAATAGCAACTTATTTTAGAAATAGTCTACATAACACCACTTATTACTCAACTTGGATGCTGAATTTTGCCCCTCAGTGGCTGGACAATATCCCTCATATTTTTTAAACAAAAAATTCAATAATATTTTTTATTCTAAATCATTTCTTAACTTTTGCTGTCATCACAGAAAACCCTTAATAGGGATTTGATCCCAAGGCATCAAGTATTGCAGAAGCACCAAGATCGTTTCATCTTCTCAAACTACATGTGTGGATACCACCAGTCTCAGGGTGACACTGCACATGCTAGAACTTTGGGGAAGTAACAGACATATAGAAGGGCCTTTTTTTCTTTGAAAAGCAGCTAAGCCAAGGATTTGACAACTACCAACAAAAAATAAATCCTTTGTGTCACAAGGTAAAAGCAAATGATCCTTTTTAAAACCTTAACAAATGGTCATACTGAATGGGAGGAGGAAACATAACAGAAATCGCTTTCAGCCCAGTTTTTTCTTCCCCAGTAAATTGGACCTGCATTCCCTCCTTCCCCTCAAATGCTTGCCTTTTAATATTTTGTTAATCAGGCAAGAGTCAGAGAATCAAGTCAGCTCCAGTAATATGGCCTTTATATTACAAAAGGAAAACAACATGGGATGCAGAATCAGAGAGACCTGGATTAGAATAACAGTTCTGTTTACTTGTGTGACCTTGCGCCAGTTATTTTAGCCTGCTGGGCCATAAATCCTTTACCTGAAAGATGAGGATAGCACCCACTTGTATGATTGTTGTAGGGCTAAAGGATTTAATATATATGAAGCACCTAGCACTTAGTAGGTGCTTAATAAATGCTATCACTGTCAGTTCAAGTTCATCCATTGCCAGTTTCTCTAGCCTGCTGACTGAGGTATGCAGATAATTTCCTATAATTGACACACTACAATTATCAACCCTTTGCCATAGCCTCTTCTGAATGACTATCCATCAACCCCAAGTCAAGTCAATCTCATTTCACAGAAGCTTTTTCTCTTTAAATCAAAGAACAAAAGGGTAGATGCTGAGGTTCATTCTTTGTAGTTCTTTGAGTATAGCCCAGGGCAGGAACAGTCACTGCTCTTGGCTTCCAGCCAGACTGGTGGTCCCAACTCTTTAGACCAGGTTCTTGATCTGTGTCCCAGGAAACACATAGCAATCTCACAGCCACATTTTGGGGACACATATTCCACTGGAATTGTGGTATCTTTCTCTGGTTCTCGGACTTCCCTTGTGGCTCAGCTGGTAAAGAATCCGCTTGCAATGCAGGAGACCTGGGTTCAATCCCTGGGTTGGGAAGATCCCCTGGAGAAGGGAAAGGCTAGCCATTCTAGTATTCTGGCCTGGAGAATTCCATGGACTACAGTCCATGGGGTCGCAAACAGTTGGACACAACTGAGTGACTTTCACTTTCTCTGGTTCCCAATAATCTCTCAATATTTGTGGTGGAATACAAATTTCCCCCCAAGGAAACCACAGTGAAACCATGTCTCTAATATCTTCAAAAGTACCAAGGCTCGAATGGACACTGCTTCTGTGGCTAAAATCTGCATACCTGCTTGGTTTAGTTAGTCATCTAATGGGACAGAGCAGAGAGTCCGCAGCTGTGAGATTAGGGCTCAATGAGTATTTCCTGACTGAGTCCACCAGGCCTCACAGAGATTCTGTTTGGGGGTGAGCAGCAGGTAGAATGGTGGCCACTTGGCTTGCTTGCTTCTGGTTTCTTAGCAACTTGGCCTTTGAGACTGGGTAGAGCTGAGAGTTCAATATGGCCACTTGGGCACACCTTCATTAAGAATGTTGTCAAATTTCTACTAAATTACTTCCACAAAGGCTCTCAGTGTGTTTATGTCAGATAACATGTCACTAACTCATCAATAAGCCATATTTAGAGTTAAATCTTGAAAGTAGCTATTGCCTTTCAGTAACACTGTTCCAAAGGCATCTCAGAGTTGGTTACTGCATGCATGCATTCTCTTCTCATCACCTCCTCTCGCCTCCTCTTTTCTCCATGTCTATGCTTCTTCTTGGTACTATTGTAAGTGCACTAGCAGGGCCTTGCTAGAAGAGTCTAGTAGGAAAGTCCTTTCTCTCATACTGGACCACATTATATTGGGTTGATCAAAAAGTTCATTTGGGTTTTTCTGTACCATCATATGGAAAAACCTGAATGAATTTTTGGCCAACCCAATAATTACACAGATCCTAAAGACAGGCTATCTTAAAACCTACCCTTAAATCAAGGCACCTGTGTGGAAACAAGTGGTGACACTTTTTTCAGCAGCTTCTCTTCAACAAATAGGAATCAGAAATGTCTACTTGTCAGATTTCTGACTCAATTCACTAATTAATTGTGTTTTAGTTCCTTTCCAATGATTGAAACATCAAATGAGGAAGACCGGGAGCTTAGTTCTGGAAGTCCCACTTGGTGGCAAGTATATGTGGCTCAAGAAAGAGGGTAAAAGTCAAACTATCAAAATGGTGGCCCCTAAAGCTACCAGTCATGAGGTCCTTTGCTTGGTAAGCATGGTATAATTGAAAGAACCTTGGATCTTGTTTAGGCACGGCTGCTAACTTGCCCTGCCTGAGTTTACCCAATAGTAAACTAAGCAGTTTGACTAAATAATACTAAAAGCCCTTTCTAATCAATTATTTTAGGAATTGTAAAAAGAGTCAAAATTTTGTCTCAAGGGCTGCGGTTCTTAATCTTTATTATGTCACAGGTCCAATTTGAAATTCACTAGAATGTTATGGACCATTTCCTCAGAAAAGACACATTGTTGTGGAAGTCTGCATACCATTTCAGAGGCTTTATGAAGTTCCTGAGTCCATAGATACTGGGTTAAGAACTGTTTCTTTCAGATGATAAAAGAGCTTATCTTCAAAAAGCAAACATGAAACAACAGTGACAACTACCTGGCCTTTTTATCCATTTTAACAATTTTCCCCAGCATTTGATCCCAAAATGGAACTCCTACAGAACACACACAGTCTGCCTTTAAAAAAAAAAAAAAAAAAAGAACTGTTTTAAGCTTTTGTTTCTTTCTGATTGCTTGGAAAGGAAGCTGTTAGGACAAAGCAGGAAGAAGAATAATTCAAACAGACATAGGCTTTGACATGCAAAACATGCTTTGCAGATTTGTCCTAAGTGGCTGTATGCAAAAGCAGGAAGGCCACCTTCCTGAGTCCACATTGGAGGGATTGTAGAGGTGTCACTCATTCTGTCTGGCCCATAGGAGCAGATGCATTCTTGGCAATGTAGTACCATGCCAGAGCTCCAAACTGGCACTAGGGTCCATATCTTCAGTAAGAGACATGGTAAGAGCCTCCGAAGTTCAGCAAATATTCCTACTCCCCTACTTCCAGGGTAAGCAATGGCCCCAACTCAAGTAACTTTTAGTTCAGGGTAAGACTTCTAAGATCAATCTTTAGCCCCAAATCTTTCAGAGATAGATGGCCTTTTGAGGAGGCAGGAAGTTCAGAGAACAGTTGAAAACTGAGCTCCTCTCTTCAACTCAGGTCAGTGGATAGCTTGGTTTCTGCAGTCTGGCTTGAGGGAGTTCAGCCATTCACAGTCTTATAGGAGCTCTAGATAGACCTTCTAGGGGAATGAAGACAGAATACAAAGGAGAAATAAACGTGTATAGGACATGTGCCCCTTATTTTATAGCCTCCCAGAGCCTGAAGGTGCAGGGACAGGAAGAATCTGCTCTTCAGCACACAAGGATTTGAAGAAGACCCTTCTAGAACCTGGAAAGGGTCCCCTGAGGCCAAGGATTTTACAACCTGAAAGGGAAAGAAGAGAGTAAGGAATTAGCTATGATTGGTTAAGCACTTAATAGCCACTGGGCAGTAGGGCCTCTCGTGGTAGGTAGCAAATCTGCTCAGCAACAGCAGCTGGCTAGGAAAAAGCCCTTATAACTCAGATTCCATAGACCAGTCCCAATATGGTGCTATAATCAGGGCTGGAAACCCTGTGTCTTTAGCTTGAACTCTAATCCTCAAAAAGTCTATAAGGGATATAGAAGCCTGATATCTCTGAGATTACCCCCCGCCCCTTGCAGAATGGTCACTGCCTCTATGGCCCTACAATAACTCCAGATTTCCTTTAACTGGGACTTTACCTTCATGAGAGCTGATAAGAAAAAGCTTATCTACCCACAGACCTCTGAGGACTGGCAGTGATAGGAATAAAAGGAAGGAAGGGGAGTACATGGAAAGCTCTGCTCCAGATACTTGGATCTTGTTTATGCATGTATTGGTTTATAGCATGCCAACAATCTGATTGTCAATCAGAACTTCTAGGCAGAGAAAGAAATTTCCATGATCTCCATGGCTCTGGTGATCTTAGTAAGTTATGTATCCCCTGTGAACCTCAGTTTCTTTATATGTTTAGTGAAAGTACATATTATCTTCCTTATTTCTGACATTTGATATGGACTAAATGAGTTAATGGATGTGAAAGTGCTTTGCATTTGACACATATAAAGAACTACGGATGAAGGTTCAAGGAGTATGAAATAGTGATTTGGGCTGAAGGAATGAAATCCCTCTACAAATACTAAGGTAGACTCTTGGGACCTACCAAAGTATCAAATGAGTGTTTACTGATATTCTTACAGACCCAAAGGATGTCAGAATTAAAAGGTTCCAAACATTTCATTTTACATATTAGGAAATTGAGGCCCAGGAAAGGAAATGTAATTGCCCCACATATCACAATCTAGGATTCCTAATGACTTTGATTCAAAGGCAATTCATAAAATTATACTGTAGTTTGGTTGAGAGAGAAAGAAAGGAAAGAGAAAGGAAACTTAAAAACATAGAGAACCTCAGTATTAAACAACAGTAAGTATAAGGGTCATGTAATTACAAAGTAGTAAACTGAGCCACGGAGGTGAATTCCCAGGCTCTGGACCTACATGGCATTCCAGTTCTCAAAAACTCAGATCTCATAAAGAAGGCATGTGTGTAACAAGGTTTTGTAATCAGAAGAGGATACTACATACCTGAGGCCTCAACTCTCATCTCCAGGAAGTCTGCCTTGAGAACTGTGGGTAAAGGATGAAAGACATTTCACTAAGACTCTAGAAATCAGAACTGGAAAGGCAAACAAGTGGCAAACACTTTCTGAGACAGTGCCAATCAGGCTATTTGAAAAATTAGGAAGTGATTCCGTCCCAGTATTTCAAAACATCTCACTCCATGCTTATAGGTTAGGCTATCTCTCTAGCAGATTTAGACAGCCCAGTGTCCCAGACCCAAAAACATCTTTCAGGTGCTACCACGATCCTTTGAGTGTCATACAATGGGAGGCTAGGGGAGACCAGAGAAATTGGCCTAAGACCAAAGACTACATTCTATGATTATCTCCAATGACAGAAGGGCAATGAGGGAAGGCAAATGCCTTCTATGAAATATGAATCTTCTTTTGCCTCAGAGACCAAACAAGCTTTGCCTGGCCTCTTGATGTCTTTAGATCAGTCCTACGGTCACCTTGTCTAGAGATAGTTGGAGGAAAGAGAAAATCCTGGAGAATTAAGGTCCATATAATGTGGGCAAAAAATCCCAGACAACAGCTGGTCCCAGGGCTATGTTCTCAACATTGTTTTTCTATTCTCTCTTGAGTCTATTTATACCTACTCCCTGAGTGATCTTATTCCCATTCATGATTTCAATCCCCATCAAGCACTGAGACACCCCCACCCCAAAGTCTACTATTCATATTGCAGTATATGTGAATAAATTTGTACAGTGGCTCTACTCAATAATTCTACCCCTAAACGTATGTAGGTCCAGTACCAATTACTAGTCTAAGTTGTAGTTACCCATCGGTCATTACTATCTAGGTGTCCCACAGAATCTTCATACACACTGTGTCCAAAACTGAGCAGAGAAAGTTTTCCACAAAACCTGTTTCACCATGATTAACTATTGCTACCATCTACCCAGCTGTCCAAGTTAGATTTTTTCTCTCTTAATCCTTCTCCAATGTTCCATATTTGAAAAGTCATTAAGGTCTTACTGAGTCTACCTCAAATCTATCCTTTCATTCTATTCCTGCTAACAATGCCATATATCAGGACCTCATCAACTCATGCTAGGATGATTAGCCTCCTAATTGGTCTCACTGCCTTCAGGTTTTACTCTCCTATCTTCCTCATTACCAACAAAATGTGTGTGTATTTCAAAATAATTCATGCAGATTAGAATATGCATTGTCATGTTTTTAAACTTTTAAGCTCTCCGTAATGACTAAAGAATAAAGACTGAACTCCTTGGTATGTTATATAAGGCCTTTACAATCTGGCCCCAATCCATCTTCCTGGCCTCACTTCCAGCTGAGCTTCCTTCCCCTCACCCCCACATTCCAGCTAAAGTGGAACACTAATCACTTTGTAAACCTGCATTGCACAAGCAGTTCTGCCTTACTGAAATACTTTCCCCTCTTTTCTCTTCTTTTGAGTTTTTAATTTTTAAATTGTTATATAAGGGAGATAAATGAGAAGTGAGGTCATTCAAATATCAGATTACATATAGTCAGGTGTACAAATTGGAGGCGAAAAGGGGCACAGCAAAGGTTAAATAGATTATCATTTTCATTAGAGATGAGATGAGATTGACTGTGGCTAGTCTAAGAATTTTGACCAGTAGCCAGCATGTAGATGTACTGATGAAAATGGTGGTTGCAAAACTGGGGTCAGAAAGAAAAACACCAATACAGTATATTAACACATATATATGGAATTTAGAAAGATGGTAATGATGGCCCTATATGCAAGACAGCAAGAGAGACACAGATATAAAGAAGAGACTTTTGGACTCTGTGGGAGAAGATAAGGGTGAGATGATTTGAGAGAATAATATTGAAACATGTATATTACCATATGTGAAATAGATGACCAGTCCAAGTTAAATGCATGAAACAGGGCACTCAAAGCCGGTGCACTGGGAAAACCCAGAGGGATGGGATGGGGAAGGAGAAGGGAGAGGGGTTTCAGGATGGGGGGACATATGTACATCCGTGACTGATTCATGTCAGTGTATGGCAAAACCCACCACAATATTGTAAAGTAATTAGCCTACAATTAAAATAAATTAATTAATTTAAAAAAATGGGTCTAGACGGAAGGAGTGCTTTTGTCATGTGGATGCTGAGTAGGAGGAATCTGTAGGTACCTAGGAGGGTGACTCATGACATATTGGAGAACTGGTGTACCCACCTTGGTCTTACACACACTCCTGCCAAGATAGAATCTGGAGATAAGGAAGAGGATTAAATTTAGGTTCCAGAGGCTTGAACATAGGACTTGTAGGGTCATCCTCCATCCTGAAGTGCCTGCTTTGGCCATAGTACCCTATGTTGCAGTTGGTCCAAGACTTCTCTGAGCACTATGACAAATATGGCAACCTAGGCAATGGTTACCAATCTTTCCACATTTTCAACACCAGTTTGGCTATAGTTTCCCTATTAGCAATCAAGCTGCCTTAAAGATTCTACTGGACTTTGTTCATGCCTAGTACATATACAGCTCAACGCCTTGGGTCCCTGTTCAAGGCTACAGAACAATCCTTCTCATTTTCAGTGTATTCTACCCATCTTTCAAGCTCCATCTCGATTCCACTACCTCTAAAAAGCTTTCCTTTAGATATGCCCAGTTCACTCTGTTAATTCAAGATTGTTTTATTCTATTTTCCTGGTATTTATTTATCATATGGCTTATCCTAGGGAGGGAGGAAGGACTACCCAGAGGTAGTAAATAGTCCTGCTTATAGGCAGATGCTTTAAGAATATTAAGGTGTCTCATTCTGTTTTTCCTTCCCCCCCCCCAAGCCTATCTGATTAAGCCTGCTTCAAAAACTTTATCTTCTTTTGTTTTTTTAAAAAAACTTTATCTTCATTATATCAGTAAGAGAAATCTAGGGCTTTGATCTCACTTTCATCTGTTATGGTAGAATAAATGGTAAATTATTGTCTAAGGAGAATTTGGTCTAGACTAGAGTTCCGTGTGACTGACTGCCAAGCAGAATTTGAGTGGCCTGCTATTCAGAATCATGTCCTGGTGAGTCAGGGCCCACAGTTTTAACTAAAATGATGTCTAACCTATCCCAGCTCCAGTGCTGGTAAAGGCATATTACTCTGCTTTTAACTGAACACCCAGAAGAGTTACACTGCTATCTCCCACCAGGAAACACAATTTTGAACTCTCTGATAAGCAACACTAAGTAAACTCACAGAAGAGTCGAGTCCATGAAGGATAAGCAATCATTTCTCCAGCTGTTCCAATCTAAAGGGTCCCAAATGATAGGCCTTGAAAAGTCTATACCAGCACTTGAAGAATTTAAAAACAAATTAATTGGAAGGAAGAAAGGAAAGAAATGTAAAAACCTAGATTCCCAGGCCCTACTCCTGGAGATTCTGTTTTAATGAGTCTAGAGTGGAAGGCAGGAATCTGTGTTCATTTTCTTTTCCCTCAAAATTTTCCAGGTGATTTATATGTGCAGCCAGTTTGAAAACAACCACTTAAGTCTAATGCTTACCTCTGAAATCAGGACTACGTTTATTCTAAGGCTGTTTATGTTAGAATATTGCACTCTATATATTTCTATCAGTTGCCCTTTTAGAATAAAATGGGATCTAAATAAGCAAACTAACAAAAAAGGGCCTACAATGAGCATAAAATTTTTGCAATACCACTTGGCATGTGAATACTCATGTGTGTGTGTGTGTGTGTGTGTGAGAGAGAGAGAGAGAGAGAGAGAGATTGAAAAACAGAGTCAGAGAGGCAAAGACAACAAATACAGAGATAGACAAAGAAAGAGAGACATGGAGAGAGAGAGAGAGACAGAAAAAGAGTCAAAGAGATAGGGAAACTGAGAGACAAAGAAACAGAGACAAGCAGAAAAGCACAAAAAGAGAGAAAGAGACTGAGAATTACAGAGACAGAGAAAGAAATAGTGTAAAAGAAGCAAATAGGTAAAAAAAAAAAGAAGCAAATAGGTAAGTGTGACTAAGGCAGAGAGACACACAGGTATAGGGAAAAGACAGAAACACAAGTTAAGATTGGGGAGACAGAAAGACAGTGTTGGGGGAGGGAAAGGAACAAACACAGTCAGACAGAGACAGAGCTACAGATAAATAGAAAAGGAGAATGTTAAGAGAGTAAATGACACACTCATGATGCATTTATTAAAAAGTGATTTGGTTTTAGTTCTGTCACCTGCATCTCTTACCTTCCTGTTTTCCGGGAAGCTGTTTCAAAGAATCTGGTCCTGGAAGCCACTCTGCAAACAGAAGCCAACCAAGTCCCATGAACTGCTCTGAAATATGTGTGAGAACCAATGGCCAATGGAAAGGAGAATAAAATATGAACCAGACAGGCCACCAATACCACGCTCTGCCTTAGCTTGCAAAGGATCTGTGTCTGAGGGAAAATCTGCATATCAGAATGTGAAATGGCTTAGACACCATAGACACCCCCAAGGCTATGGCTGATACCCTCTGTTTCCCCTTGGTTCAGAATGGTCTAAGTATGATATGCATTCAGGCTACTCTTGGGAGAAATAAGTGAAACAAGTTCTTGGTTTCAGAGTATAGCTTTTGGCATTTTGTAAATACACTTAGCTAATCAGTCCAAGTGGTAGAGGCTTTTATTTTCTTACTTCCTCAATTTTACAATTATGAGACAATAAACACAAGAAAAAGGAAAACCAGGAGGCAGTATACTTAGAGGGGTCCCAGGCACTGGCTAAGGAGAGGCCAGCCAGGCTAGTTTTGTGACCAAACAAGGCTGGTCCCTGAGAGATGCTGTGGCCCCATCTTAGCTGCTCTATCCCTGGTTTCTTGGCTTGCAAAACAGCCTCAGGAAGGCCTGCTGGATATCAGTTCTGTTCTTATCCTGTAAGATGCTCTCTGGAGAATGAGTCATTTTGGAAAAATTTTTAAATCATACTTTCTCTTTTTTAAAAAAAAGTCTTAAAGTACAAGTAAAATGAACAAATCTTTTCATTAAATTACTTTTAAAACAAGTAGTAATAATAAGATAAAAAATTTCTAGAGCCAAGGAAGCATGGAAGCAGCAGGTAATCTTATTACCCTACAGAGATCAGGGTGACTAAGAAAAATGGGTCTCCTATCATGCATTAAGTTTTAAACACTTCAGCTTAGGAAAACTCTCCCAGCCTTAAGTGTTGAGTAGAAAACTCTGAACAGGGCTGGTCTGTGACAGTTCCCTTCACTATGAAGTGAATGATGCCCCAGGGCATTGTACACCCTTTACAACCATAATGATAATCTTAAAAGCATTCTTAGTGATCTAAGGTGGGCTTTAGGTCAAGGTTGAAAAAAAGCCCGACTTACACAGATGATGGGATTTCCCCTGCATTGCCAGCCATAACATCTGGCTTTGGTTCTGGTTTCTGGGTAGTAGCTGCCCGGCAGGGAGGGTCTGGAGGCCTCACTGGGGGTCGGATGATGGTTGGCTTTTCTCCTGGAGGCCGCACTTTGCCGAAATTGTCAGAGTCTCCTAGAAGAGAGAACAAGAAGAACTTGGACAGTTGGTCAAATGGAACACTACTCCTCAGGAGATACCCAATATTGCAGTGATATTGGCCACATCTCTTGGTCCCCATTTCTTTTTGGTCACTAACAACTCTGGATTAAAAAAGTTATTCTAGCAGCTATCCCTTCAGATAGTCTATGTTTGAACTCCAGCTCTGGAACTTCATATTTGTGTCACCTAGGATATCAATTTGCTCAGTCTCAGTTTCTTCAACTATATAAAGACCAATAATACACATAACAGGTGCTTAGTCAATATCTGATCACTGACTGGATGGACATGAGTTTGAGCAAGTTCCAGGAGTTGGTGACAGACAGGGAAGCCTGGCATGCTGCAGTCCTTGGGGTCGCAAAGAGTTGGACACGACTGAGTGACTGAACTGAACTGAACTGAACTGAGGGTATCAATTTGCTCAGTCTCAGTTTCTTCAACTATATAATTAAGACCAATACATTATCTTACAGAGGCATTGAGAGAATTTACTTAGGTACTAACATGTTTAGTATTGTGACTGACACATACCATGTGCTTAGTCAATATCTGATGGTGAATTTGTTATAGTCATCATCACCAAAAAATCAGGTTCTTTTCACTTAAACCTTGACTATTGTAGCAATCTCCTAACTGAACTTTCTACCTCTATGTCTCTAGTCTCCATGTGACTCAGCACAAACTAAATACACATAATTTTTTTAATAAAACAGTTCTGGCAGGAGTATATTGAAACAGATGCATGCACACATTGCTCGTGGCACTATACATTGGGCTTTCTCTATCTAGATTGTCTGACATCAGGAATTCTGGAACAATGTGGATGTAATGAAAAATAATATATATGAGACAGTTCATGCTCATTGATCCAGGTGATCCACTTTGAAGACCAGACCCAAAGAAATTAACCCAAGAGGAAAAAATAAGCAATCAGCACAAAACATGCTTCTTAATAGCAAAAAGTCAGACTCAAGCACAGAGGCAAATAATTAAATTCTTACAAGCATTTAACCAATACATACTATGCATGAACTAACAAGGATTTGGGCTAGGTGAAGAATGTATTCATATAAAATACTATTAACTGAAGAAAAGGCCACAGAAATATTCATGGCCTGATGAACAGCATCTGGAAATAGACACATGTGCAACTATGCAAGGGTATTAGCAGATTTTGATATTCACTCAATTTTTGTCAGTAAACCTTGATAATCATTTTTTCTTCTATAAAACTTTTTAAGGTAAATGTAAAAAATATCAACTTTCATCCATAATCCTTAAGTATTTGCAAATTGTTTTTCTTCTCCTTAAAGGTTTTCTCAGTGGCTATAAAATGTACAGGATAAAGTTCAAACTCCCTAGCAAAAATTCAAGGCCCTCTATGAGTTGGTCCCAAATTATTATCCCAGGCACTAACACTGGACTTTAACTCCAGCTCTACTTTTGTTAAATCAGTCTCCTCAGTGGCCCTATCAAAGCAATCCCCTGGTTCTTATTTCTAGATGAGATAGTATGATACAGTGTGGAAAGTACAGAGTCTTGAGTTGGGCAGATCTGGTTTTCAGGCCTTGTTCTGCTACTTCTAAGCTGTGAGACCCTAGACAGTTATTTCAACTCTTTGACTACCAAGGTATTCATCTGAGAAATGGGTATAATAACCCCTCCTCACATGGTAGTTGTAAGAACTAAATTAGATGGTTGACAGAGAGCACCTAGCTGACAGCTGGGATAAGTAAGCGTTAGACTCTGCCCTGCTTCTTGTCTGATATATACCCCTGTTTTCATGTTTGATCTGTATTGAAAGAAAAAGAAAAGAAAGAAAGTGAAGTTGCTTAGTCGTGTCTGACTCTTTGCGACCCCGTGGACTGTAGCCTATTGTGGACTGTAGGCTCCTCTGTCCATGGGATTCTCCAGGCAAGAATACTGAAGTGGGTTGCCATTTCCTTCTCCAGGGGATCTTCCTGATCCAGGTATCAAACCTGGGTGTCCCATGTTGCAGGCAGACGCAACCAGGGACCCTCTGAGCCACCAGGGAAGCCTGATCTGTACTGAAACCACCCCTAAACACTCAGCTCAAATCTCAATCCTCTGAACATTCCACCTGGCATAGGTAATTTCCATCCATGTAAATACTCATAAAGTACATATATTGCTCTGTAGGGTTTTTTCATTCCTCTAGCTAGTCATTCTGGTGAGGGAGACAGATATGAAAAAAATGATAATGATAATATAGTATGATTGGTGCTTTAATGGTGATATGAGTCAAGTACTAGTCAGTCACACACAGAGAAATTCTGTCTCCCCATCTAGGCTGTATCTTACATTTCTGGACACACCATTCCCCTTAGCACCAGGTCATGTACACAGAATTGTAGCTAAATAATGACCAAAATAATAATAATAATCATCATCTAATTTTTCTAAAATGTTATACCATTCAAAGTACTCTTCCAGATAACTATTGATGTTCACAATAAGCTTGTAAGGAAAGAATAGTAGATAGGTCTTATCTTCTCCATTTTACAGAGAAGTAAACTAAGGTTTAGAAAGGTGAACTCACTCATCCACAATCACATAATTAGGTAAGTGGTAGAGAGAGGACTAAGACTTATAACTCCTTTTTCTGCATCCACTGTTCTTCCTAGTGTTTGCTGTTTTGTTGTTAGTAGTAGTAGTAAAAGTGAAGTGAGTCAGAAAGAGAAAGATAAATATTGTATTTTAATGCACATACATGGAATCTAGAAAAATGGTACTGAAGAATTTATTTACAGGGCAGCAATGGAGAAACAGACATAGACTATGGACATGGGGAGAAGGGAGGAGAGGGTGAGATGTATGGAAAGAATAACATGGAAACTTACATTACCATATGTAAAATAGATATCCAACGGGAATTTGCTGTGTGGTTTAGGGGACTCAAACAGGGGTGGGATGGGGAGGGAGATGGGGGGGAATGTTCAAATGGGAGGGGGTATATGTATACCTATGGCTGATTCATGCTGAGGTTTGATAGAAAACAACAAAATTCTGTAAAGAAATTATCCTTCAATAAAAATAAATTAAAAAGGAAAATGCTATAAATGATAACAATAATGATAATGATAATAAAATAAATGGTAAAAATTTAGCTAACTTTTTTTATTGAGCACTTGCTCTGTTCTAGATGCTATGATACTATACTCAGTGCTTTATGCACATATTCTCATTTAACACTAGCCATAACCCTGACAGATAAAAAGTATTATACCTGTTCTACAGCTGAACAAACAGAGAGATGAGAAGTAACCTCATAGTTCATTGGCAATAGATTCTGGCCTATCTACTTTCCAAAGCCCAAGTACTCACAAGTACCAGTGGTTTTCAACCCTGGCTAAACATAGAGAACATTGAAATTATATAGTACTGGGGACCCAATCACCAGAGATACCAGTTTAATTGATTAGGGTAGGACCTGGGTATGGATATTTTCTAAAAGTTCCCCAAGTGATGCTATGTATAGGCATAGTTGAGAACCTCTAGCCACATGATGGTGCTTGCTCACCTGCAGATCAGATTATAACAGCTGACAACACTGTTCCATTTCTACTGGTTGCTGGAGTGAGTACTGGATAGGAAGCATACACTTCAGTCAGAGTCAGAAAACATTTCTACCTGAAGCTGTATCCACACTAAGGCTATTATTTCCTTTGATGAGAGAACTGAATGACACTCCCTGAAACATGAAACCCATTCATTTACCAGTTGCAGGCACATGCAAATAGACATCAACCCAAGGCCTTGGAAAACAAATGTCATTAGACTTGCATCTTCCTAGGCTCTTTATGGAAGTGAAAGTCACTAATTCATGTCCGACTCTTTGTGACCCCATTGACTGTAGTCTGCCAGGCTCTTCTGTCCATGGAATTCTCCAGGCCAGAATAAGGGAGTGAGTAGCCACTCCCTTCTCCAGGGGATTTTCCCAATTCTGGGATCAAAGCCAGATCTCCCACATTGCAGGTGGATTCTTTACCATCTGAGCCACCAGGGAAGCCTGAGAATACTGGAGTGGGGAGCCTATCCCTTCTCAAGGGGATATCCCCCACCCAGGAATTGAATCATGGTGTCCTGCATTGCAGGCAGATTCTTTACCAGCTCAGCTGCCAGACTCTTTATTGGGAGCTACAAATTGATGTTTCATTATAAGTCGAACTTTGAAGTAGTAGCAAAGGGCTTTCTTGGTTGAAAGACCCCAGTGATGTTCTCTCCTACCTCTAAAGTGCCACAGCAAAGCGATAAGTCAAACTGAGGCAGGGATGGAAGAGTAATAATACCCGTGAGTCAAGAGACCTAGATTCCAGTATTAATACTAAAACTAACTTCTTGTGTGACCTTGAATGGATCATTTCCCTACCTTTACAATGTGGACTTGGAATGCTTTACAGATCAATGGGTCCATGATATAAGTCTATAAGCCTATATCTTTCCCTGCTGACCTTGATAGGCTACTCTAAAAGCCTGTTCTGATCATGTACCTAACCAGTTTGAAAAAAAAAAAATCTCCAGATAGCTGGATAGGTAGATAGATAATAGTTAGATCTCATAGCTCCCTGTTATCTGCAGTTTAAGCACAAGCATTTTTTTAATTAATTAATTTATTTATTTTACTTTACAACATTGTATTGGTTTTGTCATACATTGACTTGAATCTATAGTGCAAGCATTTTTAAACCTGGAATTCATTACCTTCTTCAGTCTCAATTCAACTGATCATTCTGGTCTACCTTTCCACCATTCCTCTTCACATATCCTATAGTCCACACAAATAGCATTACTTCTTGCTCCATGTATACATCCTACAATTAATAATCTCTTTCTCAGATGCCCTCTACCCATTCTTATATACTGCAATTTGCATCATCCATCAAGATTCAACTTAAGTTTCATATCTTTTGGAAGCCTAATAAGCTGCAAATTCCTTTCTGTCACTCTTACAG